TTTCCATCGGGATTAGATTATTAACACCTGCAATGCCAAGCTCTTTAGTTATTACCGCACGCGTAAATTGAGTTGCCTCCTTCAAAAAATTACAGTTCCTTACGTAAGCCATTGATTGATTCCCAGTTAAATGATGATCCAAGAAAATATTGGTTCTCGATGTAGATGAAATGCTGAGCAGATCGTATGGCCTTAACATAAGCCGCGTGTATGCTCATGTCTATGAGTATATTCTTCCCACATAGAAGATTCTGTTAACAGTTTATAATGAGTCCTGTAGAGAGTATAGCAACATGAAAATGATTGAAGGTGACAAGTTGAAGAGTTGTGCTTACTCTTCCAGTAGCTTCCTTTGGGTCCTCTGGAAACCCTTTGACTGAGCTTGAATCAATTGAACGGAAAACCTAAAAGATTAGTTTGTGGAAAGAAATGAGATTCCTTTTCTTCACCACCACATATATAGCATTAATATTTGAGCGAGTGAGACATGTTGAATGACCTGAACATGCCAAGACTCAGGATCATTCTCATTAGCAGAAGAACATGCTTCAGACATTCCTATGAGTTCGGGTATTCTATCTCTAACAAGCAAAGAATCATTATTAGACCTTATATGTTTCCAAATCCTGCTATGTTGTGAAGACTTTAGCCACCGTTCCTCAAAATTAGTAAGCACATCATATGCAGCTGGACCATCAATCTTGCTATGCATATCATGCCATGGTTCTCTTGGTACATCATTTCCAGTAGTCTAATACGAATACAAGATTATTTACATATATCAAGAATAGGTGAATCTGAATCAACCAAACATAATTTTTCCTGAATGGTTACCTTGAAAGTCGGGTTATGGAAGTCATCTTTATGGAGTGTCTTTAGTGTCCTAAAGAGAGGATGTTTGGGAGTATCAAATCGTCCTTTGCACATGTCAAGCCCTCCAACAAAAGCTACAATCTTTCTTCGATTCTGACCTCCATCAGCATCTACAATCACAGTTTTCTGATGATGGCTGAAGATTGTTTCAGCTTCCTGATCATCAAGAGAGTGACACTCAAATTTTTAGAAGAAGAAGCTATTACATATGGGAGTTTAATTAGCAGTAATGCAGTAACTTACAAAGCTTTTTACGAGGCCTTGACCTTTCCCACCAAATCTAGGACAAATACGAACTTGCACCGACGAGTGCTTGAAAAAGTGGCGAGTTGCCTCATCGCTTGTCTTCATAAATCCTTGCTGCATACCACAAACTTTAGTTTCATCCAAACAACAAAAGGATTGTTTCTTCATTTAGTAGTTACATGTCAAATGATATCTCTGAAGCAAAATCATTTGTGATGCAAATGTTAAGGCTTCCAACTCAAAATGAGTTGGAATTGGCTCAAATCCTTTATATATTATTTAAGATCCGATGTAGGATATTATTCCTAATAGCAGAGAGGGAAATTCTAGTATGCAGCTAACAAAACCTTACATCTGACAAATTCTAACAAAACTCTAAATTAAGTATATTATAGAACGTATTATGATTATAGAACCCTTTTGCTATATCTAAATGTCAGTCTACTTTATCAATATAGTTTATATGAGATTATCTTACATATTAAATGAATAAAAAAAAATAGAATTTTAAGAGAAACTGAAAACAGAGTTAGAAACTTACTGTTTTAATTCCTAGAAGGCTCCATGAAGTTGGATCATCCCACACCAAAACCAAAACTCGAACACCTTCCTGAGATCTTTCTTTAAGCAAATCCCCTAACGTACCATCGGTCGGATCATTATTAAGACGAACCAGCCTAACCGAATGGTAGACTGACCAACCTGTGATATAAATCAACTTCTTTGCCTGTCTTATAGCACCAGCCATATCTTCCCAGCACTTTCCATGTATATACTGTATCCCTCCGTCGAGATCTACACTTGGGAGAGTACCTTCATCAACATGAGCATCCTGATACAGAGTAACTGTACCGCCTTTCCTCAAAGGGAAGTAAGTACCGGGAACTCCTACACACTCGTTCCCAAAACCAACACCCATTTGGTAAAGTCTCATCTTTTCCATTGGAGTGTATTGAATAGATAAACTCAACACAGCGCCCGGATTACAAGGATTCCCGCTACTGTTTAGTATCGGAAAACATCCTTCTATCGTATCCCCAGAACACAACTCCTTGGTTGGGATTCTAAGAGATCCAATAAACTTTGCTCCAACCAAGTCACTGTCTTTCAACACAAACTCAACTTCTGCAGCACTATGAGCCACCGGTACATCGAAATGCTGCTTCCACACAGGATTTTCATCGTTCTTGATGACAAAAGTTGTGGCAATCTCAAACCTGAGATAGAGACAGTCACAAAAGGATCACTCTTACTGTTCTTCCGGTACTTCTTGAACCGAGCCATGTTAGGAAGATGTTTAGCTTCCTTAACCCAAATGTCTAAGTTACCATGTAACAACTCTACCCTCAAAGACCCTTTACTTGACTCTCCCATTGGTATACAAACAGAGAAAAAAAAAACAAATAAAGAAACTGAATAAAAGAAATTTAAGTGAGCTTTGAGATACAGACTTAAGATGAAGTCTATGAATAAGTAAACCAAGGGGACGTTGACTTAAAACTGAATAGTCAACTGATGGCAAGTCACACAACCACTTGGCTCCTACGTGGAAGGTACCCCAACGGCTTCAATATCTCGGTGGTCCAGGGAGGCGGGGACCAATCAAGTAAAGACAACTGTACGCTTCTCAACTCTTCCTCGATGGAGATTCGTTAGCCAAATCTTCTTCGTCTTCTTCCTCCTATGATGTCATGCGCGTTTTACCGTTTCTGATGTCACATTTGGTGAATATCATTTAATCTAGAACATATATGAGATACAATTAAACCAAAATATAAATATAAATATAAATATATATATATATATGAGATACAGACTCAATATCATGTCTATGAATAAGTAAACGAAGGTGACGTTGACTTGAAACTGAATAAGGGAGATCTAAAAGATTGGGTAAATTCAAATGAGATTAAACATTCGACACCATCATTATTCTAGAACATATTTGAGAGTAATTAATAAATCTTGACGTTTTATTTAATGGAAAAGACATTTTTCATCGTTGAAATCTTCCTTAACAATGAACTCTAATTTTCAACAGTTCTATTTTTTTTTCTCTATCCAATTATTACATTACATGTGGTTAATCAGAGAAATGGTTCGGGAAACATCTTCGACCGGCTTGGTATAATTGATTTGAGAATAAATAACTTCTCTTGCTCGAACTCCTTTTGCAAGAATACCCGCTCAGACATTTAGATTTCTAGGAATATGAGTCAAAGTGAATTCCGACAAGGTCTCTCTTGAAGGATTCAGAAAAATTCCACCTCTGTCATAAAAGACGGCCAATCTTCTTGAGATTTATACATGTTCACAAGGTCTGAACAATCAATTTAGAAATGAACCGAAATAATTTGTCTCTCTCATGACATAGCCCATAGGAGACTATCTATCTCAGCATAAAAGACGCTTTTGCGGTATCTCCGATGTCCAAAAATCTTATTTTCCCTGCCATCCTCCAAACTCCACCCGAAGCCACTAACTCGTCTATAATTGATCCAAAAAGAATGGTCAGTCTACCTCTAAACCCCTTCTTTCCTCTCTTTTTCTAACTTGAGCTCTCTCCCTATGTATGGTCGATATCTTCCCTCTTCAAATGCTAGTGAATTTAAATTATCAATCTCGGTCTTACCTCATATTATCTTACAAAAAAATTTAGAAAAAGAGAGACCTTATAAAGAATTTTTTAATATTTTTTTTAAGAAAATATTTTCTAAATCAAAATATCATTCATTTATCATCAACCTGAAAACTATTTAACCAATAATAAAATAAACAAACTTCAAATATAAATTTTCACAAAAAAAAAAATGCATTAATAATTGGTTACATCATTTAAAGTGAAACAATCTTTTCGGAGTTAACACATTACATAATATGAAACGAAGAAATATTTTTTAGGTAACGCGCAATTGATGTCAGTCTCCACTACGAAAAACTTGAGTTTTATCTTTTTGATTTTTATTGATTTATAAATAAATAAAAAAGACTAAATGATATTGACTTGACTACTTGCAAAAGGAATAGACAAAACTCTACGGAAAAAGACCCAAAACCCTAATGACTTGTCAAACCCACAAGTCATATTCGACACGCAAAACCCATTAGTAAAAAGTCTGAATGATAAGATCCCGGTACAGTACTTCCCTTTGAGGAAGGCGGTAAGGTTATTCTGTATCAGGATGCTCATGGTTTTTTTTTTTTTTTTGGTTTTTTGTAATGACAAGATAATCAATCATAGTTAAGATTTAAGAAGATATCTAATGCTGAAGTTGAACTGAGTGAAATTAATGTGAGTGTGCCAAAAATGGACCGACAAACATTATATTTCCAGCTCGATTGATATCTTCTGAACTCTGATTGATTATATTGTCATTACAAAAAACCAAAACAAAAAACAAAAATCGAGCTGGAAATAAAATGTTGGTCGGTCCGTTGCTGGCACACTCATATTAATTTCACTCAGTTCAACTTCAGCATTAGATATCTTCTTAAAATCTTAACTATGACTGATTATCTTGTCATTACAAAAAAAAACAAAAACAAAAAATAAACACTTAACAGCTTTTTCTTGCGTGACTTCAGATTTCGAAGCAAAAGTTGGGAGTTGGGAAAGTATATATGACTTGAGTCTTTCCTGTTGTTAAAGACTACGGATGGGTAGGTTGTTTAGAAATTTGTTACCTATATTGATCCGAAGAAGGTCCAAGTTTACAAAACTAATCGAATACTTACGTAGAATATATCTGTATGTTATATGGGATAACCAAACGTATTGTATAGAATCTACAATACTTTGTTTACTTTGTCTTTTTAGTAGAAACATAAAAAAAAAAACTATTTTAGTCTGTTTGATCAAAAAAAAAAATATATTAGTATTTTCTTAGCAAAGCGCAATTACAGTTTATTACTTTGTTTTTTTTATGTTAAAACAGAGATTAAAAGCTCTTTCAAAAGGAAAAAAAAAATTAGTTACGGAAAAAAAGTTGGAAATTTACAGAAGTTGACATAGAGGATTTACATGATTCTACATTTGCTATCTTTAGGAGATTTGGCTTCCTGTCTAGAAGACGCAGATGATGCTGCAGTTGATGATGGCCTGTGGTTGCTCCTTGGTACCTACAATGGTCAGTACAGTCTCCAATCATTATCATCAATGATAACACCAAAGAAGCAACGCTACAGTTTCAATGACCAATTATACCATTATCAAGTCACTTTTTAAGGCTCTAGTCTCTTACATTTCCTTATATTCATTGTTGTATAATATTGCACCGTTATCTACTCAGGATAAAGCTAAAACGGTTTTTTTTTGTTGGTTAATTCCTGCTTTTCTAGACTACTGTTTTATCTTTTCTGCCTAATTAGAGAGTTATGAGTAGGGATCAACTACCTGTGGCCCAGTGATCAGTCGTGATGCACCAACACTTGTTGGCTGTGGAGTTGGGTTACTACGTGGGCTTTGGTCCTCAAACTCTTGTTGTTGCAAAGCTATCGCCAGTTGTAGATCAGAGCTGCATAACACCATGAAAAAAAAAGGACTGTTACTATAACAGATTCATACATGTGTCTCATCATCTACTTGTGAGAGACAAGGGTTAGTGGGATTGGGTTTTAGTAGAAACAGAAAAAGTTTTGAAACAAGGGAAATGAATTTATCAGTGGCGAAATAAAGGTAGGAGAAATTTACTTGACATCCATGCCTGTGTCTGCCACATTGTTGATGCTGGCAAGATAATCCTGCGAGGAAGAAAACAAAAAGTGAAAAAAATGGTAAAAGGAGGAGATCTTTTATGAAATATTGACTATGCTATGAACATACAGCAGTATTTGTGACTGCGTTTCGTTCATCCCATGTGCCACTTGCGCCACTTGTTTCGCTGTCAATCTTGAAGTCTTTGAAGGTACTGGTCATGAAAGCAGTGTCGCCATTAACCTGAAACCGGATTGCATGTCAATAGTGGTCACAACAAGCCATAGCACTAAAGTGACTGTGGATATATTGATATCTCTCCTTAAGAGTTGAAAACTATATAGAACACAATAAGCAACTAAAACAAGTAATGAGTAATAATTTTGCTGATACCTCGTTTAGCTTTTCCCAAACCAAATCAGGCTGATTCAGGTAACCTTGATCTGTAGCCAAAAGATAAAGTTCACCTTCGTACTGCAAAAATGACATCAAAGAAGTATGTCATTGGAATTTAACCTGTTACAATCAAAAAGATGGAAATATCATTAAACTAACCTTGAACATGGTGCAGAAATGATTGTTGCGGAAAAAAACACATAGTTCACGTTCTTTGAGGCCTTCTTGCAAGCGAAAGAGTCTGAGATACGATTAATGTTAGATGTAAGATAATACAAATGTAGTCAGTCAAAGAATATAACTTCCCAATCATGGATAACATTACGCACCCGCAAAAGGTTAATTGACTTGCACTATTCTTCATGAAATTCCTGATTAGTTCACCTGGCAAAACTCAACAATAACGTATTAATATCTCGAGAATATATCGGAAATTGTGAATTATAGCATCAAGAACGTCTCTATCCACAATGGCATGCATGTATGAGTTTCCCAACATGTATGAAAATCATCAGTATTCAGTAGATCAGATGAAAGCATAAGTTACCTTCTTCTGCTGTGAGCCCATCAGTAGCTTTCCCTTCAGAAGAACAATCACCAACAGTCTTCTCAGCCTTTTTACCAAGAAGTGACTCACCTTCGTAAACAGGTTCTTTGTCTGCACAAACTGGAGCTACTGCGTTCACACATTCCTCACCTTCATACATGGGTTCATCAGTAGATACGGGTGAGGTAAGCGCATCAGGTACATCGTCATGCTGGGATCTGCAACTTGAATCTGGAAAAAATGGATTGGGCACTTGAGTAAGAATTTTCATCTCCAATAATATCTTCAGATATAAAACAAAGAAGTAGATTAATTATGTAAGAGACACTGATGAGGTTACTCAACCTAAGGATGAAAAAAAACCTACCTGGATTAGTAGAAGTTGCATCAGACTCGAGCAGACTTCCAGAACTGCATTCAGTTTTGGTTGACACCAGATTAGTCTTCTCCACTGAAAGCGCCTCAGAAGAAGTTACATCCGCGATAGCCTTTTCGTTACTATTCGCATTCTCAGCATCACGACCCATCTCATCTCCAGATTCCTTCAAATGATCATGGTCAAGATCACCACTTTTAATTGTAATCGACGCCGGGAACTGTCCAACTTCCATCGTATTCCTATAATTTTCTGATGGTTTATCACCCTCAGATTTGAACTGTTCGAGGTGACAGATATTGTCACCATGGGTGCTAGGTTGATTTGCATCTGCGAATGTGAATGCAGAGTCAAGATTGGTTGAGTCCCCGTGAGTGTTCGGTGCTGAATCGTTTCCCTGCCCCTGTGATAATTGCAAGGCTTGCAATAACTCTGTTTCTTCTTCAAGATCTCCTTTTCTAAGTCTACGAAGCTCTGCAGCAGCAGGTGGAGAATCCTCAAAAGATCTTGTTTTCGAAAGACACGGTGAAGGAACCCCTAAAGCTGCAGTGGTTGCCGCAGCAAAATCAACAGAATCTTCTCCTAGATTTTGATCGCCTCGAGCCTCTACATTCTGCGTCTCCAGTGCAACGAGCTCACCCATTAGAGCGTTATATGACTTGCTTCCAATAGCATTAGCTGCTTCAACATCCTGGAGGTATGCAAAGGGAATGCAATGGAATCAATTCTTTTACTACGACACCATCATAAAAGGAATGCTCTTGATCGGTGTTCCGATCAATAACGAGCCAAACAATGGATATAAAGAATAAAGTAGCCTACGTTTTGTATCAAAATGAAAAGCAGAGAAGATGACCCCACAAACCAAACAGTCACACACAAAAGCACAATAGACAAGAAAGCAATGAAAGCATGTCAACGGCCTATACTAGTGAAATTTATGAACGAAATGATGTACCTGGGGATCAACGATCCATCCGTGATACAAGGGAATGTCAAGTAAATCAAATATTGCACACTCAGGTGTGAACTCGAAATCATCAATCCTGCAACCATGTATAGATTCATTGTTATGATAGGAACTTCTACATAGTAAAAGCGAAAAACAAATCACAAAGTATTAACCTCCTGAATTTAATGTTGACATCAATTCCAGTTGTAAGGCGTGGAAGGAGATCAATTGCATCAGCAATGTTCTGTTGCTGATTCTCAACATATCCTTCTTCTTTGTTCTGCCATGAGAAATGAAAATGAGGTTATCCAGGTAGAGCCAAGCCATAAGATAATGTAAAGACTGGGCAAGAAGAAACCAGCAGCTTATTACATTGACTTTACTATTGGAATCAATTAGTCTGTCGACCACGAGGGACAGCAATCTCTCTTGAGAAACCTCATAACAGTCAGGGTTAAGATTCAAGTTGTTTCTCAAGAGAAGAACATTACCTGTTGCAACCCAAAAATCAATAACAATCAGGAATTAAAAGGGTTAAATGAACATATACACATGTAGTTAAATTTACTTCTTAAGCATAAATATTCACACTTCTATCATTCTACGAGAAGCTACCAACAAAATCTGTTGATCGTTTCACTAAGCATCAAATCAATTATCAGAGAACACTGCGTAGTAAGACATTCATTACGAGTATTACAATATACCAAAACCACCAAACCTAACACCGATTCTCAATTAGTTTTACAATTCCAGAAAATCAGTAACGAAAACCTACAGAATCCAAACCCTATTCGAAGGTCTTAATTAAGTGTATCAACCCTAAGGTGGCCGAGAAATGGAGGATAAAACCAAAAAAAAAAAAGGAGGAAGAAGAAGAACATACAAATGGCTAATAGAGGGCAAGGTCCATTTTCGTTTTGGAGAATGATAGGCGTGTTTCGTCCAAGGAACTGAATCGATTTCGTCTTGTACGTGACCTCCTCCGTGGTTTCCTTTTGCTGCGTCGCTTCTTGATTCGTCTGTGTCTCTTCGCTTGGAGAGTCTGAAGGCGGAGAAGAGGAAGCGGTCGCCATTGATGATCGAACCAAAGAGATCAAAAATCGAATTCGAAAACAAAAAATTCACTCGAAAAAAAAGTCAAATTACGATCGAAGAAGAAGATACAAATATTGGAATTTCCGAAGAAAAATTATTTTTCTGATCCAAATCGAACGAGCGTGCGTGCGAGGAAGAGGCTTTTAATTTATATTACGAGAATGAACTTTTATGTAAGTGGAGATATGAGAAGTGAGTCGCTAAACCAAACCGATACGTACCAAATCAAAATTCGGTATTGCTAAATTGCTTTGGTAAGCTGTTCAGAAATACAAACAATTGGTTCATTTTGGTTCCGGTTATTTAATTTATGGGGTTGAAAATAGACCATTACGGTTCGGATGGATCGGTTTTCAAACCGGTAACTTTAACGCGTAGCTTCTCGGGGTAAGGTTTCTTATCATAACACCGTCATTGTCCTAGTTTTACGAGTGTATTCAATCAAAGATATGGATTCAAAAGTGAATTTTGAAAAATCTTTTAAAATTAAGTGTTATTGGATTAGTGATTTGAAATTACACAACTTCCAATTCACTATTATTGGAATAGTTAAATATTGGAATTAGGTTTCTTAGTTTTTTTTTGACCAAAATCTATTTAGGTTTCTTAGTTAAAAAATACAAAAATTCAAACCATATAGTTTTATGGTTTTAGGTAATATTGCAAGATATTTAATAACAAATCACACTAACTTCCCTAATTCACCCAAAATTATCTAACTCGTTAAACTCAAATCTATTATATAAAAGTTGGGTTGTGTCTCACAATCTTGACACATCAGCATTTCTTTATATGACACATCAGTTTTAACAAAAAAAAAGTCTGATATTTTAAATTTTAAATAATAATTAAGACATTTATGAGTTTTGGAACTCATATCATGTCTTTACTACTGCCAAATTCTTCTTTGATTCATCAGTCAGGATTTCAATTGGATTTTAATGGCAAAGCTTAAAACCGAGTTTTGAAATTTCATTAGGATTATACGAGTTTGTAAGTGAAGGAAGTAATTGTGGTCATGGCTATGACTTCAAGAGGTGGTGATTGCTATTTTCAGATATTGGAGAAGATTTGAGAAAAAAAAAGATATTGGAGAAGGAAGGTCGCACGAAAATTCAGTTAGGAGTTTATGAAGGATTAAATGGCTTGATATTATTGGTAGAAAGTGGCTTTGCGTATCTAAATAACCTGAAACATTTTAACGAATTGTGTTCTCTCTAAAATGAGAAAATATAAAAAATGGTAAAGGCGAATGTTGATATCACTATGCATGTTTGTTGCCATTATGATGAATTAATGGTATGGTTTAACCTCATTCTTTTTTTATTGCTTGGGTTACAACTTACAAATGTTATGGGGAGACGTAATAAAGACAACAAAGAGGATGTTATAGAGAAAGCAGAGAAGAGTGAGGGGACAAAAAGTTTTCTCGGGAAAGAATAACAAAAGAGTAATTTTTTAAAACTGTGATGACCATAATTGATCGATAAATTTGTTATGATCGGATGATTTCCCAGACTGAATAATTTGTAATTGTTTTATCATCTTATACTCCTCATGAGTGTTAGTTGGAGGTTGTTCAGCCGCTCTCATGGGAGACAAGACTTAGGAGTTAGGATCACAATATGATCACATTTTGTATTCATTATCTAAGTATTTTGTTATAACATAATTTAGGCAGTGTGTTATTAAACGATTTCATATTTAGACAGAAATAGAATGTAGTTCCCATAAGGCAATAATTCTTTCTACGCTCGATTTTTGGGGTGCAAAGTTTATGAAAGAACGATTGGTAAGACTAGATCCTTACGTAATTTTAGAAGTTATAGAAAAGTATTTGTACTTTCTTAAATGTGATATGGCGATGTGTAGCTTGCATGAATGTAAGTGTTTTTTTTTGTGTGCTAACTGTTAACATATAAAAAAAATCAGAAAGTTGTCTGCAATTTAAGCTGATAATCTAAATTTCATGTGCATAATATAAAACTTCCAATTAAGTGATCATATAACTTAAGCTAGAAAATACTAATTATTTTCTTTTTAGTTTTTAAAATGTGGTTGATTACAACCAAAACTAACTGGAAATTTAAAAAAGTGTTTACATTAAAATAAAAATAAATACGAACAAATAATTTCAACATATATCAATTCATATATTTTATCAAATGACCGCTTCTATATCGAATTAGGTTGTATTTGTTAAGATGTTTTTCATACAAGTAAAATATTCCTAAAGTTTAAATAAAAAATCTATCATATTATATAACACAAATTATAAATTTATAAAGTATACAAGCCTGTGTGTACACACGGGTCTTCACCTAGTCATTCCTAATATTTCTCTTCTTTATTCCTAATTAATTTTTTTTTCAATAACTGTTGACAAAAAAAAAACAGAATCTTTTTATGAAGCTAACGAAATCTTTTTTATCTAAAAATTAATGTTTTAGTAGTTTCTCCTTGTCTCATTTTTCTCGTGTTTTGAATGTAACATCAAACTTGTGTTTTGAATATAACACCAAACTTGTGCTTTGAATATAACACCAAACTGTCTAACATAGTGATAAACTTTGTTCTTGTGATTCTAATTGTGTAAACTATGTTCCTCCAATCTGATACATCAAATAATTGAAGTAGTATAATAATGTATGAAGTATGATAAGTAACAAAAAAAAAGTATTTTAATATAACCACACACACAAAGTTAACATGTTGTTATTTGGAGAATTTTATTGACTATGTTGGAGGTGAAAATCGCATCTCCAGTTTTCTCCGGTACAAATCAAGATCGGTATGATAAACTCTGTTAATGATGGAAGAATACTGAGAGAATTTTACTGAGCGAACTCCCAGGCCAACCTAAGCCCACGAACATAGAATCGGTGGAAAATTCCTAAAAGAATAAGGTCTTAGAAAAAATGAAACTCTCTAGCATCCCACATCGCGAAATGAGAAAGAGACCTCACATAAGAGCGACTTAGATTCCATATAGAAAGGTAGAAGATTCGTCACTAGAAGAACACACAAGAATCCGAAGAGACAGAGAAATTGAGAGCCAAAGATATTCTGAGCATCTTGATTTCTAAGATAAACAAACTTAGTTGTATTTTCTCCAATCTGATATCAATAAAACCAAACTTTGATCTAAATAACTATTTTACCCCATTTATGTGATATTACATATCAATAATTGGCGATGTCTGTGGAGAGGTTTATCAAAAACAGTTTTTTAAATCCCATAATGGAAAACTTCAGATCTGCAATGGCGAGTTTATCCAAACTCGCCGATACTCTAAACGGAGATAACCAACCCCTTGGAGTGGGAAGCGGGGAAACTCCCGTGAACAACGACGATAATTAACCTCTTGGAGAGAGAAACGAGAGAAATCTCATGATCAACGGTGATAATCAACCTCTTGGAGAGGGAAATGGGGGAAACCCTGTGAATAACGGCACCAGTATCGCAACTAGGGTCGAGACTAGTAAAACTCTCTCCCCCTCCCCCCTGATAACACCGTATTTTGACCACTTTTATGGATCATAATTATGTCTTATGCAGGTGCTTTAACTCTGTTTTTAATGGTTTTTAAAGTGTTTTCAATGTTTTAGAGTTTCAAAAAACTTTACAGGAAAATTGGGCAAAAGATATGCAATTTGGAACAAATGAGCAATTTTGGATAAATGCACACCGTCAGAAGTATGACAAGCGATGAAAACGTTCTCACCGTCTGATCACCCCCAAAATTTGAGACAACATAGAGCATCCAACCAGCTTTCTAATGCACTTGGTTTGGAGACAATCCAACGGTTAGATCTTCAGATAATCCCGATGCAAGAATGACAAAAAATGCAGTTCCGGAAGAGAGACATGTGCCGGGACCGCGGCGAACACCTATTTTCCCGCGGGTAGAGCCACCGCGACCGCGGAACTTGGTCGTTCACCTTCCAGAAGACTTAATTAAAGCCCATATCAATTCCTTTCGTTATTTTTGAAGCCCTAAGTGTCCAGGACCACTCCAGAAGCTATAAATACCTCATTTAGGTCATTCTAAAGGAGGTGTTCTTTTCTGTACTTAGATTTTCGTGTGAGGCTTAAAACCCTAGAGAGAGAGGCCGCCACCCTTGAAGGAAGACATCGCGCCTCCATCTGCTTCTCCGTTCTTCGTTTTTCTTCCCTCTTTTCTTTAATTTCCTGCAACTTTCAATACTCTGTGATGATTGTTTACAATATGTTTGAGTAGTTACCCAGTTGGGTTTAAAGGGATTTTTCAAAGGGAATTTCATGTGTCTTTGATTATGAATCGATAGATTTAGGATTATTAATCTTCTAGATGTTCTTCGTTTGCCTTTAATCTTACTGTGTGATTCTCTGCTGGCCACTTAGAAGCCGATCTGATATGATATGTTGCGAAAACTTTCATTGATTGTCTGAACTAGGGTGAAACGAGCAATTCTTCTATAGGAGTGGAAACCTACCTGTAGTTGAGTTGTGAATGTTGATGAGTCTTGTCCTGCTATTGCATCTTCTCCCTTCCAGGATCAGAGTGGAAACCTACTGATCAGGGTTGCGAGAGATAGTTGTTTAGTGCTGCGAAAGTAGGCTATTCATACTTTCGTGCCTCGAGTTCTAGAACATACATAGTTGATTACCTTTATCAATTGTTTAAAATCGACATAGCTTAGTCCATGAACCCCTACGAATACCCCTTGAGCCCCAACGTTTGTCTTTAATTGCTTACAACCTTTGATTTAGTTTTCTTTTTATTCGCTTGTTCTTTGTTTCAAATCGCCTCTTGTTTAATCGCCTACTACTTGCTTTCGTTTTTGTCAATTGCTTTTCAGTTTTTATTGCTTTTTAGTTTAGATTTCGTGACAACCAAAACCCAAAACCAAAACCAAATCCTGTTTAGTTCTAGTCTGATTTAAGCATAGCCGTGAACTCGTACTGAAACAACTAAGTCTCTGTGGATCGATACCCTAAGTACTACAGCGCACATCTGTGCACTTACAGACATTTATGGGTTATAAATTTAAAATCTGAAGCTTAGTAAAACGAAAACAATAACCCCACTTTTACACTCGCATTTTGCCGGGGACTTTGATTTATTTCGTTGCGAATCCCA